ATGACCGTATTTTCTTATCTGCCAAGCTTTTCCCCTCTCCCCCTCTTAGATGTCACCATTCATTTTAATGTGTGTGTTTTTTAATCCAGCTCAAATATAGCTAAGTGGTGCATGTTCCTGTCCCCAGACATTATGTTATAAATAAGCGTTCCTCTGACAGGATTTTGTACTTTACTACTAGCAAGACAAGAAAGCATTGAAAACAGGTTTCCTTAGAGTGTCCAACTTGGAGGGATCTAAATGCAGTATATTAAGTGTTATATATCCAGGTTGTTCACTTTTAAATTAAGCTACTTGAACCCAGTGGGAAGTATAAAAATATAAACAGAGTAGCTCCTGAAATGCGTACTTTCCAGTTAGACAGACCCTCTTCACAGACCCTTCCCACTGCAAAAACACTGCAGCATCCAAAGGAGAGCCTGTAAGGGCTCCAAAAAGGCTTTGGGAAGCTTTAAGGCAGCAGACAAGGCTCGAGCTCTGGCAGTGCTTCCTCAGCATCCTCCATTGTCCCACCCACTGGCAGGGCTCTGGGACTCACCCTGGAACCACCCCTTCAGCCGCATCAGGCACAGTCAACCAGATTAGCTCAAAGACACTTTCATCTTCACATTAAGCTCACTGAGGCCACTTGCCCAGTTCAGTTTTGGGTGTGCCCATGTGGCCACAATAGCTGGCCAAGTCACAGGGGGCTTCTGCTGGAGGGAGCCCCATCGCTGGAGGAGATGCTATGACCGGCTTACAGGCACGCGTCAGCACGACTGCTGCATCCTTCATCCATCGGGTGCACAGGAATGATCCACCTACACCCTCCTAACCCCCTAAAAATGTTCTGTTCAGAAGAGGCCAGGCTCTGTCCTTTACCAAAGAGCAAGAAACAAATGCTGAGCTGCATCTCAAGAAGCCCATGCAGCAGAACCTGGCTTGAAATCAGCAAGTTTCTGGCCTGAATCTGAACCAGTCTCATTAGTCTTCAGCTATTTCTGTCTAGCCGGGAGCATCTCACAGATGAAGGATATTCAGGGCCCAGACAGTCTTCCAACAGTGAGCATTTTGGATCCTCAAAATTGTTACCAGTCCAATAGGCTGCTGTTGCAACTGTTGCTGGGTTTAAAGTCAAGTATTGCAAGGACAAGTATTCAGAGCCAAAAATCCCTTTTGAGTTGAAAGCAAACAGGGTCCATTAAATTCTGTTGACCTTTTACTTGAAACCAGCAGACCTGCAAATGTACTACTTTAATAAAGGAAAATTTGGATTCTGATGCAATCATGTTATTCCAGAAGCCTGGCCTAAGGCCACAGCACTATCAGTGTCAGAAGTGACCCAGGGCTCTGCTGGTGCCACAGCCCCTCTCCCTTGTGTCAGCAGCAATTACAACAACAACTTAGCTTTAACCACAACCAATTTCCCAACCTGGTGCACCACACAATCACAAAAACAGCGTCGGGAACACAAAGGAGGATGTGGCACAGTGTGGAGGAGGCAGGTGTCCCTGGCTGGGATTATTTCCTTCAGTCCTAATACCATCTTTTGCTAGCTTAGAACAATCCTGAGGCCACGGGCAAGTCAGCATGAAGATGCTTCTGGTCACACAATCACAGGACAGTTGAAGTTGGAAGGGACCTCTCGACATCATCTGGTCCCATCAACCCCCTGCTCAAGCAGGGTCAACTAGAGACAGCTGCCCAAGGACCATATCCAAATGGCTTTTTAATATCTCCGAGGATGAAGAATGCACAACCACCCTGGACAACCTGTGCCAGTGCTTGGTCACCCTCACAGTGAAAAAGTGTTTCCTGATGTTCAGAGGGAACCTCCCATGTTTCAGTTTGTGCCCATTGCCTCTGGTCCTGTCACTGGGCACCACTGAGCTGAGCCTGGCTCTGCCATTGCACCCTCCCTTCAGGTATTTATATACATAGATGAGATCCCCCTCAGCCTTCTTCTCCAGCCTCAACAGTCCCAGCTCTCAGCCTCTCCTCAGGAAAGACTCTTCATCATCTTTGTGGCCCTTTGCTGCACTCTCTCCAGTAGCTCCATACTGGTGCAGTCTGATCCAGCTGGCAGATACTGGGCTCCCTTGTCTATCCTGAAAATCTGGAAAGAAGGTGGCATGCAGGAGAGTGCATGTCCCTTCCACAAATAGGGGCTCTTCTGGTCAATCAGTGGGTAAAGGAGAGCCTGTTTCAGAGTGCTGTATCTTATGTTCAACTGACTTCTTAGGAAGCAGCTGTAACTACCAGGCACCACCTAAATGTAACACATACCTCATTTTGAGACTAAAAATAATTCTCTGTCTTCTCTGGGTAGGAAGATGTTTAATCAAAGAGACTCAACATACTCACTATAATGTATTTTTACAGCAGGTACACCAAACCAAAACAGTTAAAATGATCAGTCTCCAAAGCTCTAGATATTATGTAAATAAACTCTAAATAATTGCCTGCATTAAAGTGTGGTTCAGTGTTCAGGAAGGAAAACAGCTCTTGTTTTTTTAAAATTAAATTCTGATTTTATCTATAATTCTAGACTGTTCTGTTTATTTACATGAAACATTATCCTGCTTGATGAGTGCCAAAGTGTTACTCTGAGACTGTATGATTAACAGCAGTATTTCTGAAAGCTACACATCAAACAGATTTATGTGTCTAATGACCTAAGTCCCTCAACCAGCAGTATATTCAAACTGAGGTAACCAAACACATTCTTGCCATAGGTACGGTGATTTACAAACACTCTTCTGAATAATGAAGATAATAGATGCAAGGATGCCAGTTGACATAGCCAAGAGCCACACACTCTCAATGATCCCTGAAAGCTTTTTATGCATTGAGGGGACTGGCAGGACACTGAAACACATGGCTCAGACCCATGCTGAGCAGCAAGGAATGGTGGCAACTAAAGACATTATCATCCCCTTATTGAATCCCCCTGTTCCTGCAGCAGGGTTGGTGGGAATAAACCTGTACCTCCACCTCTGCTGCTTCAGGCCACAGTTTGTTTTCTTGGTATAATCCCATATTTACCGGCAACTTAACCCAACAGACTCAACTAGAAAATGCAAGACGGGAGGCCCAGGAGCATGCTCCCTTCTGCCAGCTGAGAAGAGGGTGACAACGGGCAGTGGGATAGGGCAGCACCACTTCAGCCAGCAGATCCAGGCTGGAGTGAACTGGCCCCTTGAAGCAGATGCCCTCCCACACTAGGACAAAACACGACTGCTTGCTTTGACCACATTTTTTACATAGCTTTAGACTTCTCTCCTCTCAGCAATTATGCTGGTTGTCAGTAAGTTATTCACAACGATCCCTGAGGATTTCTCTTCACGGTATTATTAGCCTAGGCTGTGACTCCAGTTTCGATTCACGGGCAATAACCATTCATCCCTGCACAAAAGTCTCCAGCTCCAATAGCTGGCATCTCCGCTGCGAGTGCCCTAGGCTGCCAGGGAGAGCGATGCTGTCCTCAGGCAGCGAGGATGGGCACGTTGCCGCTTCAGCCGGGATGATGCGGCGGCAGTACCTCTTGTGCTGCAGCCCCACTGCCCCGCCAGCCTCCCATGCACAGCCCCGAGTCTTTACAATAGTTAAAAATTGTATTTTTAAAAAAATGTCTACTGACTTTGGTTTTTTTTTCATAAAAGCTGCTTATTGCCCATTTTCTGCAGACGCTAGCCTGCCACTTTAAAAAAAAAAGATCCCATTGGCAAGCAACCAATATGCAAGAACACCACAAAGAAGCTGTTACAGTTTATCGGGCAGTAATCCATGGATTAAGGTCAATAATAGCATTCGATGACATACTGCGATGACTCCAAAGGTGCTGTTCTGGCTTGCAGGATATAGAGAATCTAACCCCCTCACAAACATTTCAACTAAGTTACTTTCTCGTAAATCTTCAAAAGAAGAGAATAAACAAAGAAACCCAGAAGAAAGATGCCTAGCACAATATCTTGCATTGCACAAAAAAAAAAAAGTATAATGAAAATAAATGAGCATTTTCAAAGAACACTTGAATTTTCTTCTCCTTCACACTGATGTTTTCACAGTAAGAGAGTTCTGGGTGAGTAACAGAAATTTTGATCTACAGAGAAAGATTTAAAAAGCAAGCCAAAACACTCTCACATGCCCAAAAGACAAAGCCACAACTAAAACTTTCAAAATAAAAGCTGAAATGCTCAATTTTTTTCCTGTAATTATTTATACGAAATAAGCTTTTTCCTTCTGTTGACATGAGAACACAAATGTATCATCACAGAAAACACTGTGTACTCCCCAAATCCCACGAGGTCATTAATCTTCTTTTATGCAGTACACAAAATATTTTCATAGAACTTTTAAAATAGTTTTCTAAAGCATGGCTGATGTCATCAGCAACTCAGAAGTCGTTGGCCTAACAACATAATTGCTAAATATCCTCTAAAGGAGAGAATCCCTTCACTCTGTTCTAAACTTACACTGCCACCTGCATTATCCATACATGCAATTATCTACGTTATTAATTTATCTGACAGTCCCCGATACCAAGGGTAAGCAACCCGTTATGGTGTTGAAATTGAACTAATGAATAGACTTTTCTTACTTCTGTTGATGTAAATGAAGGAATCTGCACTCTTTTCATACAATTGGTTTCATTAGGACTCCGATAATGGTCTAGTACTGTGCCACCATGTATTTTATTTGTCATGAAACAATAATAATTCATAAAATGTACTCAGGAGAATACAACTGGCCCACCAGCTGTAAGCAATTCTGTACTCCACAGTCATATGCAATTTTTGTAAACAACATATTGACACTGGAAAAGAAAATCCTTAGAAAGAAATCTTCGCAAGGCTTCAGTAAGTAAAAGTTATGACAAATAACATTTGTATTTATATACATCTTACCAAGAACAAATCACTTTCTGATTAACTTGGTTTAGTTGTAAGTCATCATTTCACATTTTACTTTCAGTACAATGTAGTAGCATTTTCACTACACATGCAATTTTTTTTTCTTACCTTTAAGGAATCAAAGCAGGCAATAACTCTTCCATTTTCAACCTGGCAACTTTTAGGGGGGTGTGCAAATTTGCATTCTTCATCAGAGCGTGAACAAGTTCCCCTCTGAAATTGCCTGCACACTTCTAGTGTTAGCCATTTTGTATCTCTTACAGGAGCAACATTCAAAGCCATGATGAAAAGCTGATTTTCAATTTGTAAATTGCTGTCAAGTGAATTATGCCAAAGAAATTTCCAAAAATAATGACAAAGGGAAGGAAGAGAAAAAGAAAAAAACAAAACCAAAAAACCCCAGAAAAAAAATAATTTCAATTCCAATTGAAAAGAAAGTTTAAAAAAAAAAGTGGGGGATGATTAATGATGTCCAACGCACACAAAGCAGAATAAACAGAGAAAGTTTATCAGCAAGCAGTCAGTCATCAATCATTAAGTCCCATTTGTAGACTTTTGGCTGGGAAAAACCATGCTCAGTCACATTTCTGTCTGTAAAACACGCGGGCTTGTCGATTGTATCGCGGATGCAACAGTTTTAAGCCAAGGTCCTTCAACGCAATGGCACTCCTTGATAGAATGTTAATTCTTTGACAGTTGCTTGCTGGTATTGATGACACAAGGAAAGCAATGCAGTCATTTGTTCATGTCCCAGGAATAACAACAATAATTCTTCCTCTTCTTCTGCTTTCAGTTTCCCATCAACTAATTGGCAAATGGAGACAGCTGAGGTATCTTCTACCAGATGTGAGGTGAAGGCAATGTCTGGCTGGCAAAGACAGGATTTTGAGAATACAGGCGTAGCAGTCCTCGCTCATAAAAGTGACTTGACAAAGGCACTTTTTAAGTCACTGACCTGATAAAACAAATACAGTATCAGTTCATGTGCAACTCATTGAGATCAACATGACGAAACCCATCATCCCTTTTAATCAGGCATTATAGACATACTGCCAATGTTCACTTTTATTTCTTCTTTTCCCAAACAAAACCAGCCTCCTTCATGAAGTTACACATGACAAGGGAATAACCACTTGAAACACGTATTGCAGTAATATTCTAGGCAGCAATCCAGAAGTTGGGACTGATTTAAATAGATGAATATGGCAGACACAGACACAATAATTAGGCGTACTGGTTCTGAAACAATTCAATCTAATGTGCTCAGTCTCCAAAACAATACACAAGAACCCATTTCCATTAATTTATCATTTGGCCCTTACAATGTAACAGCACAATCTAAAGCTGTTACTTGTTATTTGTTCTTCCTTAGAAATTAAGATGGTAGTATTCTGTTCAGATTTTTTGTTTCTCCCCTTCACTGTTTCTCAATTGGGGGGGGCGGGGGGGGAAGACACACACCAAAAAAATCTGTCATTCCAAAACTCCAAAATTATAGGGAAAAAACCTTCCATATCAAGAAAATACAGTTAGTTTCCCTGTTAAGCTAAAGGCTGTTTTAATAGAGGCTTCATGAAAGGGATCACCACGTTAAGTCATCATCCTCTAATGAGTTCTTTCTAATATGAAAGGATCTTTATCTAAATTTTCCTTTGATTAAATTAGCTTTCATCTACCTTTACAAATACATGGTTCAGCATCAAAATCTAAGACTTAAATATGGAACTTATGGAATATTTGAGGACTACAAAATACCTAGGATATTTTATAGATAAACAGATCTGAAAATCAAAGGGTTAGGTATTATAAATATTTTTAAATAAACGACTATATTTTATATGCAGATGACGAAACCACAGACATGATGTTTCCTTCTATTCAGCTTCAAAGGAATACAACTTTCACTTTGCAGATACCAGCCAGAAACAGTTGATGGATTATTTTCGTACAAGAAGAAAGGGGGAAGGACTGGAAAAAATGAGGTTTTAAAATGCATCATAAAAATAGCTCTAAAAACACTGTCAGTTTTCCCATGCCACAATAATTACCATTCTGTGTTTGGATTCATCTGATTTAATTGAAGTAAGTATTGTTAGTAATGCGAGTAAGAATTACTCACAGTTTCAGGAACAGATCCCAGTTCTGAATCCAGGTCTTCACATCAAAAGGCTTTTCTATTACTTAAGTAACGCTACCAGAAAGGGTTTTTACTACATGTTCAAGTTTCAGTTTCAAGTCCAACGTGCAATAAGATGGGTCTGATATTTATCTAGCTTTACCTGGCCATCAAGAATAATGAGTTGCAAGAGAATTAGTACATTTTTAAATAGTTCTGCACAATTGTAGCACAGTACAGTACATGAACTAAATATTCCTCAAATTAAATATTTCATCAGTGTTGTCTCACAGCATCAATGAAGAGTGAGGTTAAGCTGAAAACGTGCAAAGATGCGACCAAAAAATACTCATAGCTGATGAAAAGGAACCTGAGAGGGAAAGAAAAGGAGAGCCTCTCCACAAGAGCTTGTTGAGGTGATAGCTTGTTGGGCTAATGATTTAGCTGGCTAAATGTAAAAGAGGAAATATTCTCCCTAGAGCCACCCATTCCAATTCAGAAATGTCAGGAACGGTTTTCAGTAAGAAATGTAGGAGATCGATGGAAGTTTTGGAAAAAAGGTAAGTGTTATATTGCACACTGGTGAAAGCCACAGGTAGTAACACTCTGCTGGGCTGCACAGTACTAAGAAGTAGTTTCTCAAGCAGCTGGTGTTAAGACTGAAGAAAACCAGACATTACACATGGAGGGAAAGCAAACAGCACATGTTATGTAAGTGGCAGTAACTATGGTTTTAAAAAATGTGCACAACAGAATTACATACAAGATTTGTGAGACTGCAGCAAGAATTAGTACCAAAAAGTGTTTTGGGGGTAGAGGAGTGAAATACAGCATCATCCTATTTCCTATCTTGTCACTATATGAATGTTTTCTAAAGAAAGGGAAGCATGAAAAGTTCATCTCAAAAATAACGCCACTATCCAATCTCAGAAGAGGCGTTGAGTGCTTCAGCAGTTTCACTGACGCAGGCTTAGGAGAGACAGAGCCAAGACCTTTGTGAAGGAGGCCGTGCCTTCAGTAGAAGGCAGGTGCAAAAATGGTGGAGACAGAATAATTTGGAGCACTTCATCCATACCTCTTAAATGCCCTGTGTGTTCACAGCCATGTCCTATGCAGCTGGCATACCTCCTCTGCTTATCACCTTCACTAAGGGGGTGAAGGAAGAGATGCCACCAGGAAAGCCTAAACATGAGAGGGAAGCAATACAAGGAGAAGGGGCAGGAAAGACATACTGAGGGGGGGAACAAACTACGTGAGGAAACAGCAAAAGTAGAGTTCAAGATATGAGGAAAGTGCTCAAGAGAAGGAAAAGAATGGGAGCAGAAGGTAGGAAAGTTAAATGATTGGTTGTGGAAGAGGAAGGAAAATACATGAATAAAATAATAGTAAAAAAGCCTCGATAAAATGCCTCTGAGGCCATAGGCCATTACTAACATTACAACCCACTCACGTGAAGAGCCCTGGGGCCTCCAGCCAAGTGTGAACTCTGCTCTTCTTTCCACTACTTCTGACTTCTGTTTGTGTCCCAACCTATCAGGCAAAGTTAGCTGTCCTGCCAAACCAATGGGATCTCACCAGCCTAAAGACCCAGCACTAATGGGGTCTCTTATCCAGGCAAAAGGTTTGCTTTTCAGTTTGCTTGGGGTTTTTTTCCAGTTGTTTTATTAATGATTCCAGCTTGAGCCTATACTCCCCAGTGTAGCTAAAAAATTACCATTGACAACTGAGATGCAAAATGTTCTTACTGAAGCTGAAAAAAATACTCAAAATAGTAAGTATAAAAGAACTAAATTTGTTTGGTTGTTTTTTTAAAACTATTGCTGTTTATTTTCAGTCTCTCACACACTCAGATCAATGGACTTCAGGAGAACAGACTTTGACCTTTGCAGGGACTTGCTGGGTAGAGTACCATGGGATAATGTACTGGAGGGAAGAGGGGCCCAAGAAAGCTGGTTAATACTCAAGGATGACCTCCTCCAAGCCCAGAAGCATTGCATCCCAGCAAAGAGTAAGTCAGGCAAACATGCCAGGAGACCTGCATGGATGAACAAGGAGCTCCTGGACAAACACAAAGACAAAAAGGAAGCCTACAGAGGGTAGAAACAAAGACAGGTAGCCTGGGAGGAATACAGGGAAGTTGTCTGAGAAGCCAGGGATCAGGTTAGAAAAGCTAAAGCCCTGATAGAATTAAATCTGGCCAGGGACATCAAGGCCAACAAGAAAAGCTTTTATAAGTATGTTGGGAATAAAAGGAAGACTAGGGAAAATGTAGGCCCCCTCTGGAAAGAAATGGGAGACCTGGTTACCTGGGATACAGAGAAGGCTGGGGTATTCAACAACTTCTTCGCCTCAGTCTTCAACACTAAGGGCTTGAGCCACACCCCTCAAGTTGCAAAAGGTAGAGGCGGGAACTGGGAGAATGAAGAGAAGATCAGGTATGTAGAATCAGAATGTAAGATCAGAATGTAGAAGAAGATCAGGTTCAAGACCATCTGAGGAACCTGGAGAGTTCCATGGGACCTGATGAGGTAATCCATGAGTCTTGAGAGAACTGGCAGATGAAGTTGCCAAGCCACTGCCCATCATATTTGAGAAATCATGGCAAACTGATGAAACTCCTACAGACTGGAAAAGGGGAAACATAACCCTCATTTTTAAAGAGGGAAATAAGGAAGATCCAGGGAACTACAGGCCCATCGGTCACACCTTTGTCCCTGGCAAGACCATGGAGCAGATACTCCTGGAAACTATGCTAAGGCACAGAAAGTGAGGAGGTGATTTGTGACAGCCAACATGGCTTCACCAACGGCAAATCGTGCTTGACCAATTCGGTGGCCTTCTATGATGGGGTTACAGCACTGATGGATAATGGCAGAGCAACTGATGTCAT